CCTAAGAATTTAATTTCTGATTTGTTGAAATGGCATTTATCTGGATTTATAGTAAGTCCATAAATGTGTAAGCGTTCTAGAACTTGATCTAGTGTTCTAATATGTTCTTCCTCTCTTTTGGTTGCAATGAGAATATCGTCGAAGAATACAAATATATTGTCGATGTTCGCTAAAACTTCGGTCATGAAATAATTGAACGTCGCTGGGGCAGATGCTAGCCCGAAACAAAGAGTTTTAAACATGTACATTTTATTGTTGCAGGAAAAGGCTGTTTTTGGTTGATCCGATTCCAAGATAGGAATATGATTATAAGCTTTTGTGAGATCAAGTGTAGTGAAATGTCGACAGCCATGCAATTTATTGACAAAATCGTACAAGTGTGGCACGGGGTGTTTTTCCTTGATCGTGATTGAATTCAAAAGTCTAAAATCGAGGCACAGCCTGATAGCATTAGAACCCCGCTTTGGAACGATGGTAACTGGAGAATTATAAACGGAATTACATGGAATTATATCTCCTAAGGCTAATAAAGTTTTAATTTCTTGTTCCACAGAAGCTTGTAAGTGAAAGGGTATTCTTCTTGGTTTGGATGAAATAATTTGTCCATTTGTTTGTATTCGATGTACTGTATTGTGTTTAAAGCGAACAGATGTATGTTTAGGAATAGTAATATCTTCATATTTCCGTAGTAAGTTTGTAACTCGACTATCGTGGCTAGGTGAAATGAATGAAGCAGCAATTGTCGGCATAAAGGTTCTCCTGCCTTTAATGTAGTGTTGAGAGCGTGGATTTTTCAAAGTAGCTGAACCCACATCGAGTAATAAGTTGTATTTGGTCAGGAAATCAATGCCAATGATAGGGGTTCGCACTTTCGCGATTTGAAATTCAAAGTTGTAGGTAAGACCATCTCCAAGATCAAGAGTTAACAAACGAGTCCCATACCATGGTATCTTCGTACCATTGATGGCATAAGGGAATGACTAAGTGGTTTCTTTATAGGTATAAAATCAGCTGGAATAATTGAAAGAAATGACCCAGAATCGACAAGAAATCGACGTCGACTCGATTCATCAATTATGTACATAAGAGAAGTTGGTTGTTGCCATGCTGAGTTTGATGTTGCACAGATTCTTTCGGGTTTTCGACAACATTGACCCGATCTTAGTGAAAATTTTGAGAAGCCATGGCACATCCTACACCTTTGCATTTGTAAGCTTTGTCGCCAAAAGTCGCGTGATAGTAACAGAGATTGGGGTCCGTGTTTTGTTGAGAAATGTTCATTGGCGGTCCATTATTGTGTCGAAAAGGCGGACCACGATATTGGCGATCGCGTCTAGGCGGTCCTCTCAAATTGTTGTATCTCTGAGGTGGTCTGTCCTGGTAATCATTGCCTCTCTGCTGACGGTTGTAATTTGAGCGGTAGGTTTGCTGTTTTTCCTGTGTAACCTTGTCTAACTGAGTTTTAAGCTGTTTCATTTCTGCCAACAACTCTGAATAAGCTCTTGTGTCAGATTGTGGTGTTGTTTTAGAATTAGTAGCAACGCCTGATGCGGAATTTGTATCCCAGAATGTTTCTGCCATGTCTACAATTTGACTCATGGAGCGTTTTGTTCCACTTTTTGCAAAAAGTCGTCTTACGAAAATCGCCACTGGTTCTGGTACAAGTTGAACAAAATAAAACCGTAATATTTGCTCCGGAATCGGGTTTTTTGAAGCGTGAAAATCTAGTGTACGACAAATTAAGCTGTATATTTGGGTAGGTGTCATATTCTTGCATTTAGGGCCTAACGCCTCGATTTGGTCGATGAAATTCAACTCGAAAATTTGTTTGATAGTGTCAATAAAGTTATCATAATCATCCTTCGTTATTTTAGTGTCTCGACCTGGCATAAACTCCTCCATTCTAGCATACTGGTCTGGCGTGAAACTCTGAATTACATATTTGAGTTTAAAATCAGGATCGATGATTCCGAAATATGTGAATGAAGCAGTAATATTATCAATCCATTGCCTGACAGCGTTCTCCCAAATAGGCTCGCGTTTGTTCGAGGTCAAAAATTTTATATAGTTATCAGGCAACATAACCGTCTCCGTATTCGAAGAGGTGGAAGAACTGGATGAGCGCGGTGTAGGGTTCTCAGAACTGACATTCTCTGTAGTTATTGAAGATGTAGAAGAGCTTGATGATCCTGGTGTAGTGTTCTCAGAAGAGATATGTTCTGTAGTTGTAGGCGAAGATGTCATTGTGCACTGTGTGGTTTTGCGTGGACGAATTTTAGTAGTTTGTATTGCTACACCTATCCTTTGTGGTTGAGTTTTAAGTGAGGTTGAATCAGAGCGTCTGCTTTCTGAATCTTGCTTTTGTTTAAGGCGTTGCGACTGTCTGGTACTTGACATGCGTAACACTAAAATCTAGCGGCGACGGAACGCGACGAACGCATAAAGTGTGTATCTGGCATTTCTATATAAAAATTACACATTACAGTAAAATAACAATATATAATGTTCGTTTGAATCCTTTGTCCGTGAAAACGTCTCGAGAATAAATATGAAAAGGTATTTACGTGGAAAGGCTGCTGTCTTCATTGTTGAATTCCTGAATTGCCATCATGAAGTTGATTTTCCAGTTGTTGAATTGATTTTTCCAACTTGTTGAATTGAATTTCCAAGCGGTTGCGTGTCTTTACACGTCGGAGGTCACCAAAATATAGGGAGAAAGAGATGAGATGCTGATGGGATAAAGACTATCACCCTATATGTTTAAGTTCGATTCCCGCGTTATTGTTTTGACACGCGTTATGGAATGTGACTCCAATCTGGACTCCTTCAGACGATAATAAGCACACAATGTTGATGCTAATCGTTGTTGTATATTATAGGAAGATGCACAATCCAAATTCCGAAAACAGATAAAATTGAGACACACTTAACTTTTAACACAGTAAATCAGGAGTGAATCAAAACACATCACACTTAACGCAGTAAAACAGAAGTGGATCTAAACTAGGGTTACCATATTTGAAAAAGCAAAATTCCGGACAGTGCATGACTATGTCGCACAACCTTAGTCCTAACCGGTACACAAAAACTATGTTCAGGTTGTGCGCCATCTTGGTGCACATACTTCTTTCAGGAGGTTCCTATTTTCATGAGACCATATATATGCGCTACCGAAATGCTAAGGCCGTACGATACTCATGCTAACGTTGTACGATACTCATGCTAAAGCGCCAGCTACCGAAATGAAAAGTATTGTCTTCAGTTACAAGCAGAATCTCACACCAGGCAGGTAAGCACACTCTAAATATAGCTACGGGCCGTCGACTGAAAAAATCTCAACTTCAGAGTGAAAAATAAGAATGAGAATTAGATTGTGCCAAAACGGAAGAACAGCAATTACATGCTTAAAACGAATTAAAGACAATCACTACAAATTTACTCTTCTGACCATGCATATTTTTCTGAAGACCTCATTCTCTCCTTGTCTGATTTCAAAAATGAAAACAATTCACTACAGTGCATATCTTTGAAATTATATTGGAGAGTCAACATGCCTTTTATAGTCGCAAATTGTTTCTCTCTTTAGTCCACTGACTTTGCATCAGTGAAAAGACTCTCTCTACAATATTGGCATTGTGGGATGTAATAGCAAAGAAAAACTGTTCAATCCTTAAAATTTCGGAGTGGCATGTGATGTTCGTAGACTGATCGAAATATTTGCACCATTTCTTATGCGTTGGCAGTTTAATAAATTCTTCGTCTTGTAGGTAACTTTCCACAAACTGCTTCAAGTTACAGAATTGGTCAAATCATTTATCATCGTCCACATCAATCCGTTTACTAATCAGATTTTCCAGGCAAGGCTTTACATCAGGGGTCGGCAACCTTTTGTCGCTCGCGGGCCAAAACCAAAGGTTGCAAGTCATTGGCGGGCCTCATATTTTTAGACTGTTGAAAACCGAACGGATAGCCGATGAATCACACTTTTTCACACAGATTAGAGCAGTGCACGAAGACTGACCATTTGAATATTTTCTGCACCATTAAACCATTTGCGCTAAGCATCAACTTTTCTGCGTTTTGTTGCCATTTGTGTAATTATAATTAAATTATAGGGTCATTAAACGCGCAATTGTGAATTATATACTTGTTAGGTTATAACATAATTTAGCCTACGCGTGTCGCAAAATTAATTCTGTTACGTAAAGAATATAATCGTTAAAACAGCTGTTTTGTTACTATAATCCAGTGAAGCGTCGCGGGCCGGATTATATTGCTCCGCGGACCGGATCCGGCCTGCGGGCCGTAGGTTGCCAACCCCTGCTTTACATCCTTCCAACTTGGTATCTCGTTCAAGGTTATCCATTTGAAATAAGTAAACTCTTCCATTGGTTTCATCCATTTGCACAAGTACTAAAAGCATTTGCAAAGTTTGCAACTTTAACACCATTGATAAGGAAAACGCTCTGTTATATTACAATTTCATACAACCTCGTAGTAAAAATATGCGCACGGTACGAAATAACAATGTTCTGTATTAGCAGTGTGCACATTACGATTGCAGATGCAGTAAAATTCCGGACATTTGAGCATTTTTTAAAATTCCTCCCGGACGCAAAATTTAACCCTAAATTCCGGACATGTCCGGAATTTTCCGGACGGTATGGCAACCCTAATCTAAACACAATATTATGCAGCCCTCTCGGCAAGCCGGAACGATACGTCATCAAATTGGTCGATACGAGAAAGACAGTACATGTAATCAGTAATGCTACAATAAAATGACCTATTGTGGGAAATGGAACACACTATTAAAATGAAAGGGTTAAATACATTATAATTCATAGTTACACAATGTACATTCGTTACAATGGTTCAGCCTCCTTCCCCCGGGATGAATATGTAAATCCTATCCCTAACTCATGGCCAGTTTTCAATCACCTTTTTGCCGATAACGACCCAATATGCATAGTTAAAGTATGTGTAAAAAATACAAGCACTCGCTTTTTAAAAATATCTTTCTTTATTAACCTACTAATCGGACATCTGCAGATTTGGTAAAAGTCATTTGCATGCGAATCTCGAAAGTTTATTCTAAATCCCAACCTATTGTCACCAAATGAAATATGCAAACTAACATAAACACGCTAATATGACAATGGGATAAAACTGGATAGTCGTAATTCAATTTGCTGTCCGCTCTTTTCTTCAAGTGTTTCATCAAAAGTCTATCCCCTCTACCCATCAGGCTACATTCCTCCTGAGACTTTGTCTCAGTAAATGAAAACACCCTGTCAAAAATATGATTTGATTTATTCACTTTTATTTTCACAATATCCTGCATTTCTTCCATTGTAATTTGTATTTGTTTGTAATTATATCCGTTGGAATTGGAAAAGGTTCTTGGTAATAATAGAATCTTCAATCATTCAGGTTACCATTTTAATGACAGCCCTGCATCACGTCCATGAGGTTTTGTATGAATTAGTATATGTTTGTTAGTTTAAACCATTCTACAAACAAAATCAGCAGGAATGTTTTATCATTGAAAATAAATTAGCACAGCAACCAGTAACAATTTCATTGATCTAAATTTGGCTGTAATAGTGCATTTCCTTGTTCCAAGACAATACATGCCAAGAAGGTTTGAACCCCTGCTATTAATTAAGAATATAAGATTGAGAATTTTTGTGATAATTCTCAAGGAATCATAGTCACGTTCTCACAACCAGAATTTGAAAGTGAAAATAATTGACCATTTGTCCGATTAAAAGAATCCAGAGGGGAATGAAAGCAAAATATAATTTTATTGATGCAATGCCATCCAATCTCAAACAAACAAGTATCTCGAACAATATTTCCAAAACCGAGACATGGATATACCAAACTTTTCGCTTCATACTAACATCCTGTGGATTCTGTAAATAAAGGAACATATAAAAATAGGTTTTCAAGTAAATTTCACATTGTATGGCATAAACAAATAATTAAAAAAAAAAAATCTATTCTTTTGGGCTATTCCAAGTGACACTACAGGACAATTCCAGAAATTTAGCATGTTGTTAAATTCAATATATTTTCACAGTTTCAGCTACCGGTACATGTTTTGTTTCATTGTCCAATCAGTTGCTTTATTGAATATGTAAAAAATTGCACAAAAGTTACACCCAACCTTACTTAGTAGATAAAAAAAATATAGTAAAATATAGCGTGACACTACAGGATGGCAAATCCACCATGCACTAACAGTACGTTGTGTTGTGCTGTAAATTTTTGCGATGGTACAGTAGGAGCCCATAATATTTTCTGGTGCAGTAGCTGAACTACCCCTCTAATGTAACACTGTAAATCCATGCCAATGATGTGCTTATTGTATGTGACACTACAGGACATTTTTCCACTTCGGAATAGCGGCATCTATCATCTCTTAAAATTCTGGTAATAAATCGTTAAATGGGTGAAGAAATGTTCTACAGCACTGCAAACATTCAAACTTTATTAACTTAAATCCAGTGCGTCAATTCCATATGAAATAACTGTACCACACAATCAAACACTTTGTGTCAAGAATCCTCACAAAATATGTCAATTATACCAAAATTTCTACATTTCAGGCCATTTTTTATAAACCATCAAAAACCTAGGTGAAATTTTAAATTGTTCGATGAAATGAATGCAGTTCAATAAAATTCCAATGTCTTTTGATATCAAAAATTACTTTCACTACACTTTTTAAAAAATTGATGGAATTCAACTTTTGCTTGGAATGGCCCTTTTCAGCTTATAAACTTTGTTTAAATTGAAATTCTAATATCAATTTATAGGTTTCAAATTGAATTTGTTTGTCTAAAACTTTGAAGATAAATTGGGGATGATGGAATGATCTGATGTCTGGAATGATTACCGGGCTAGGTATTCTCACATCAAGAATAGACTGGTCATCTTGTCTATGCAGTTGGATAAAAAAGAATACTTCAGTACTGACAACTAATATACATTCAGCCCATTGAGGCATTTAGACAAATATCACATTTTTTCAAGTCTTAAGATTGGAACAACACAATCAGACATGCTGATGGATTCAATAGCAAATATACCAAGATGTCAGAAATGTGAATTTTGCTACATAGCATGATCTCAACAAATACAAGCAAATGAATAGCAGAGAAGAATTACAGAGACAGTTACTCGACAATCTGAAAATAGACAATCTGAAAATATTATTTTAATTCATTGTGTATTAGGTGCAATCTACATAATGGGCTCGAAGTGTGGCAAATTGGCATATCTGGAATTGTAAATCAAACTTTTGACACACTCACTCGTCCCAGGAAAATATTTATATCTTAAAATTTGATATAATAATGAGCAGAACGCACCTGATAATTTCTAACATGTTTGACGATTCGTACAATCAGCCACACTATATCAATGAAACAAATGATATATCGAGGAATGAACACAACAAACCATAGATACTGAAAAACAAGACCATGGGTTAAAGATGGGTGAATATATATACATGTAGATGTTTTAATGAGAATGGGTAAAACTGAGGCTGAATAGATCAGGCTATTTCCAAAGTCTAAGCCCCCGCCCCCAGTGAAGTATCTAAACTACCAAATAAAGCCTCATTAAAAGCAGTTTGCAAATGCAGTTTTGTATATAGGAAAACTACATATAATAGGATTTACATATTTATTCCAGGGTAGAAGCTTACAAGACAGCTTAATCATACGGAGAACCACCACGGCCTCTCGTCTGGTGACTAGTCCATGTCAGGTATGGGATTAGATAGCTAGTTATTTCTTTTCAATGCATTGACTTAATAGTCAGATACTTCAGTGGTAAGGGAATACACACAAGCCGGCAGTTACCCAAATCACCCTATTATGGGTGTCGGGGGGAGGTGCACGTCATACGATTTTACGTTAAATAGCTCAGGCGGTATACAGACTTTAGCGTGCAACTGACAGAATGGCCCCATTTGAGAAAAACTTGAATGAACAAGTGTAAAAATATTTAAACAGAACATCCCAACTGGGGCACAGTCCCGTCTCGCAGAACGACGGCGATGATGCGTATTTTTGCATCGATCAAAGTTCATTTAATCGCCGCAAACAAAACGCGCTAAAGGTAACAAAAAAGTCTGGAACTTCATGAGAGGTTCATTTAGTTGTTAATCGGCATTGGGTCTAGTGTAGTTTCGTGGTCTGGTATAGTTTAGTACCACATGCACTTCTAGTTGGGCTGGCTCATCAATTTTTGCATATGTCAATCCTAACCCCACATGACTATGTCACCAAAAAAATACGTCACTACAACGCCACAGTGGCGTAATAAATACTCACAAAGTGTACGTATGGTCGTCCAAAACGAGCAGACGATCACTTGAAATCGAGCAAGCTCTTTCTCTCGTTGCAACCATTGAAGTGTATACAACACCTCCAATGGTCGCAACGTTCCCGATATGAGAGAGTCCGCTGGCGTTAGTGAGTTCGGTATCGTCGGAGCATATGCCATTTCAGACGATAGTACAGTAGTAGCTATGCTTGGCAAGCTCTATGGCGTGATTGTGACATCGTAGTGGCGTAATTTTTGGATGACATAGTCAGGTGAGGGTTATGAATAACATATACAAAATTTATTATCCTACGCCAACCGGAAGTACCTGTGGTACTAAACTATACTGCCATAAGATAAGTTTATTACGACTCCATAATCAGCAAAAAGGCGATAAAACGGTTGATTAAAACAAATAAATAAAAACTGACTATGAAATCAGGAGAGTGAACAAAACTTTGGATAAGGTTCAAAACATACAGAATATAAGTTAGAAGGTATTGCCAAAAAAAAGTGGTACGTGTTCACTCACCTAATGGGCGTAACCTAACAATTTCTTCATATATTAATCCTAACCCCCACATGACCGTGTCGTCCAAAAATTACGCCACTACAACGTCACAGTGACGTAATAAGGCCCTTCAAACTATACCTTACGAACTGTCATCCAAGACGGGCAGATAATTACCCGAAATCGAGCAAGCTGTTTCTCTTGTCGCACAATCCCGATATAAGAGAGATCGCTGCCGTTAGTGAGTTCCTTATAGTCGGCGCAGATGTCATTTTGAGCGACCGTAGATAGGATAGGATTTACATAGGGTGAACCTGACCGAAGAAAAAAAAACATACTATTTTTTCATGTCGCCAACTACCCATTGTCTCTCTCTAAAAAAGCTTGAAAATCCATACAAATATAAAGATAAAAATATGAAACTTGGCAGGTGGGTAGAGTTGTGTTTCTTTTAACCATCTTTAAAGTTTCACGTTTCCATATTTAAAAGAGGGGGAATAGGGGGGTGCGCATTTCCAATACGTCGATAATATCTTTGTCGACCAATTTGCGACCACCGTGTTTTTGTCTGTTTGATTGCTGTGATGCGGTGATTTGTTTATAATTTGACGAGTTTTGTTCGAAATAACCATGTTCTTAAAATATATGATGGTCATAAATGCAATTAGAAGCCAATTTCTTTCACGCATGGCTGCGTATGCCCTAGTCTCGACGCAGCAGAATCGATGTCCAAGGCTTGAAATCCGTGGTCGCACACTGGTCGTTCGGACGCAAATACGTCTTCAGAGTGTCGTACTTTGGTGGTTTGTATAGCTTTAACCCCTGGTCGTAGAAAGTTGATTCGAGGTTTAGCGTGTAGAAGGAATGCCAATGCACCTACGGTGAAAAAATTAACGGGTTAGAAACATTGGTTTTTGTTTTATAGCGGTTTGAATGAAATCGTCCGCAGACTGGCTACACCACCCTAGCGGTTTGAATGAAATCGTTCGCAGACTGGCTACACCACCCTATTTATCCTGGGGAGAGGAAATAGGTACGGTACCCTATACCGTACCGTACCTTGGCAAGCTGTATGACGAGCCTGTGACGTCGTACGGTACCGGTACCAGTACCGGTACTGACTTACGTAATTTTTAAATGGCGTACCGGTAGTCAGGTGGGGGTTAGGATTGGCATGTGCAAAAATCGTTATGCTACGCATACTACGGTACCGGTACAGTACTAGAATTACTTGAGGTACCGTACCGGTACGAAACTACACGCGACCCCCCTCGCGGACCCCAGTTTGAGAACCACTGTACCGGTAGGCTACCGGTACCGTATTCCCATTACGCTGTAATGCTAAGCACATGCGCCAGAAGGATTGAATGAACACTACTAACCTGCCCTCTGTTTTCCAACTTTAATGAAATGAGTACCATGAACACACATGTGCAAATCCACGAAATCGATAGCGATTGCGCCAGAGTCATTTTGTAAAACCGGTCGCTACTTACGTACCACTCTTGAAGCAAGTAATTCTTGGCAGCAATGAAGGCGTGTCATTATTCACACCCGAAAAAATGTTGACAAGTGAAATTGACATAACAAAACAAGAAAGGAATTTACCAATGGACCTTTCCCCGAGCATCGACTTCCTTGTTTACTTCGTGACATTGGCCAATCACAAAGATGTTCAAAGTGACGTGAAAATGCTCCCTTTTTACATCCGCTCAGACGCTTTTCTCACTCAGACCAATGACATTTTCAAGCGTGGCCGTAAACATTGCCTCGTTTTCGCGTTTTTGGACTATATTCGTTAGTTTTCAGTTGTGTTTCGGAAACCTAAATATAAATCAGATAATTCAATAATCACACTGTCTTCCTAAGAGTTTTAATTTAATTGCAGTAATAAAAAATTAGTGTAGAAATAGCTGTGATAGACTAGGCTAAAATTCTTAACTGGTACTTTTATAAAACAGATTGTTGTATGCAATGGATCCTAATGATGGTTTGAAACACATACCCTATTTTACAGGCGCCAACTCGTAAAAGCACTTTTAAAATAGACCCGAAAATTTTATAATGGTAAAGTATAGGAAGAATTTTCCGGGGGTCGAAGGTCGGGGAAAGGTCCATTAAAACAAAAATTAACATTTACAAAGCAAAAGCATATATTGCCTGATAAAAACAAAAAGTTTGCAACAAATTTTATATAACTTTTTTCGAAATAGCATATGATCAGATCATAGAGGAAATTCCCCTTTACAACAAAACCGAGCAAACAGAACCGAAATTAAAACCTGAGGAACCAGTCATGCCCCTATAAAAAGAGTGCGATTTTATTGTTGGACACGAAATGGACATAACGATCGTTTCAATATTATGTTGGTCTTGTTGTTGTTGTTCTTTGACACTTTTTGGACATCTAGTGGAAAATCTAAAAATCCGCTTTTCTCTTTCATTACTGGGCCGATTACTTCGAAATTTTTACTGGTTAAAGATGAAATTTTCCTCCAGAAGGCTATTACTTTTATTTGATTCAAATATTTCTGTTAGCTCTGTGAGATTTGTTTTTGTTTGCTATGACGTCATTAAACGTTCTGCGGACATCGGACGCTATTTTGTGTCCTACTGTACTGCTTAAAGATGAAATTTTTCTCCAGATGGCTATTACTTTTATTTAATTCAAATATTTCTGTTAGCTCTGTGAGATTTGTTTTTGTTTGCTATGACGTCATTAAACGTTATGCGGACATCGGACGCTATTTTGTGTCCTACTGTACTGCTTCGCTTGGTGTGAATATATTTGTAGATTGTGATCTGACGGTACGGTAAACCGTACTGTACTGCGAACAGACGTGTCCATATATTCGGGCGTAGCTCTCTTGTTTGTTAAAGTAGTGGGTTACCTGAATTTGTTCACACAGCTCAAATCTACAACTTACACGATTACACTGCTGTTTTCGGTTCTAATTATATTTTGTATTTATTAAAAATGTATGTAACTGTAAATTTTAGAAATTTATCAAATCTACCGGTTAGACTTGCACGTAACTTACGGAATTATTTCGAGTTACGGAAGGGAAGTTACGAATTACGTAAAGTCGTAATTATTGGATAGGATAGGATTCACATATTTATCCCGGGGGAGAGGAAAGCCGATAAGACGGCTTATCCATATGGCGAACCACGGCCTCTCGTCCGGTTACCATTCCAAGTCGGGTATGGGATTAGTTTTTACTGTATTGTTTGTTTTCGGAAGCATGGACTTGGTGGTGGAGGAAGCCGTAACCGACCAGCGGTTACGTGAACCACCCAACGACGGCGAGGAGTCCACCAATCCTCTCGCACATAACCATCCCTGCATGGGATTCGAACCTGCGAACCCACGCAGAGTAATTAGAGGTGCGGTGGCGAGCGTATTCCTAACGCTTAGCCCGTTGAGCCACACCGCCGCGCCACGTATTGGTCGAGCGCTTTCACGATTGAAACGAGCTCTCTTCAGAGCAGTCAATTCCGTCGATTGTAAAAAAAATAAAGTTTACTAAGCAGAAGAAGTTAAAGTTCCGGTATTCGTAGCCGTTTTTCTCTCTCTCGTTACGCAGGTGGGGAAGGCATGACGCGTTGCCACCCCCGTTTGAGAAAAATTTTTGATGTGAAAATTCATCTACAAAAAAAAACAACAGCGTCGTTTTACGATCGCGCATCTTGGACGACGACGCAAGACTTTTTTCTTCATCACGATATGGTATCTTTTTTATTCGGCGCTAATAATGATAAATAAGAATGCGTGGTTGTTGATTGCGATTCTGGAAGGCTTATTTCTCTTTCTCTCCATGAAACAGACATGAGACGAATTTTACCGCTGTTATTAGGCCGCGAGCCGAGGCCCTGAAAAACGCCTAGAAAATGAGTTTCGTAGCGCACATGAGGGAACTACCTGGAAATAATTCTAAAATGTTCCTTAGTAGTTTAGTAACAAATAATACCTTGTTCCCATTTCTAAAAGTTGCACGTTTTACGAAAAAGACGCTTTTACTACAAGAAATATGCGCTAGGTTTTGCCCTATATTCTCTATTTTTACGGCAATATTGGCCAATGAACGCAGACATCTGTATGACGTAACAATTAATTTGATCAACTGTTCGTGGGCGGATGAATCTCAGTTTGCAGCCTTTCCATCGTCTTTTTTAGTTTTGTTAGTTAAGTTATGCTAAGACGGTGTTAAAAAGTATAAGTAAGTTATTAAACATTTGTAGATCCCTACCATGGATATAGGCCGTTAGACGAGGCCGTAAAAAACGCCCATCAAATGAGTTTCGTAGCGCACATCTGGTAACTAAATAAATACTTTAGTTTTGTATGAAAATGAACATACTGAACGCATTGCAATACAGCTTGTTCCTCACTCCTGTTGCGAAATTGAATATAAGGGGGTTCCCAGAAAATCAATAACCAAAGGTTTACAACAACACAGCATAAGCACTATGCAATTCAAGAGCCCTGCTGCACACTAACACAAATGTATTTCTGTCACTGATTTCTCTACTTTAATTTATCCGATTTTATATTAGGGGCCTACATTTAAAACCATCCCGGCTGTCTTCATCGACCATATTGCCATCGAGAGTTCATGCGATGTCTGTGTAATTATCGGTTTCAGTTCAAAAAATAGAAATAAATGTACGTTAACGTTAAGACCCCTTTTGGCATACGGGGCTTACACGTTACAACTTGTAGTAATTGTTGTTCGCGGAAAACAACGAAACAAAAACAAAACCACGTATCCTACTTCAGTAGGTAGGCTATCGGAACGCGACATAGCAACAGCAGTATCGAGAACATGCTAATTGGTAATGTTCGTGTATTATGCTGACTGGCTGAACGCCAAAGCGGGACTTTTGACTGAGAAGTCGGGACGAAACGTTATAAAGCGGGACTGTTCCGCCTAAAACGGGACGGACGTATGGTAAGCCTAGTTATATTTCACACAGAAATTTATCGGAAAAGTCGAGAAAATCAAATGAATACAGTATGTAGGCTACATGATATAGTGAACAGAAATATTACAATTAGACTTTTTCAGTTTATGTGGTTGTGTATTTAAAACAATAGCAATATTATCTATAGAAACAGGACTTTCGACACTAACAGATGTCTGAACAACACTAATAAATATTATTTATTAAATCAACTTCAATATTTAATTCACTTTCTTCTGACGTGCTTTCAAAGTCCACATTCTCGAAAATGGAAATTTCCGCTATAAGTGTACTGTGGTTTTTGCAGTTTATACAAAAACAAAAATCTGTGCAATTCAGATTGTTTTTAGCACACATGCATAAATTATTTTGACGCCTATTTGGCTTACATTCGCAGTTTGCCAACTCAAGAACTGATTTGGGGGCTGTAAGTAGATCCATCATCGAGAACCCATCCATGGCCAATAGGTGGGAGAATAATTTGCCTTGGTTCTAGGCAACAGTGAAGAAGCCCTTTCTGGTAATTTCCCCTATGAACATGCTTCCTCAGTGAATCATTGTTGGGTGGAAGAGTATAATCCATATGTTTGCCAGTTTTGGAAAGACGTGCCCTGGTATCATTTACATTCTTCATATCCTCTCCATACAGTGAACGAACAATTTTCTCAGATTTATTTATTAATGCCTCGTTAACCTCGAAATATCTTCATAGTTCATTACATAAATTGCATTGCATAAAATACAAAAAACGCTAATTGTTTAATTGGAAATGTCCCAATCATTGGATTATATTCAACCAAAGCAACGAGATTTAAGAGTTTTGACGATCATCTTTTTGTCTTTAACAGTTCAATATTCTCAATTTAACTACTATTAAATATAATCAAGTATGAGCCAGTGTGTTTATTCTGTGCGAGATCCATTTTCTATTACAAAATCTTGATGTTTTGTTACCGGGTTTATCTTTATATACCTGTCTGGACTTGACCTTGCTCAATATGTTTTTCACAATGTCTCGCTATATTTCGGCCAAATATGATTAACTGTCATTACCAAATGCGGCAACTTATTTTGATTTATCGTCGACTCAAATACCACAAGCATTCGACCAAACTTGTGTCAATCTTGATCGATAGGATCGTCGACTTGAGATAGAAAAATAAGTTAATTTTTTCGTGAGTGCAAAATAAATGTCACAAAATACATTGTTTTGCGATATAAACTTGTATTTTCGGAGAAGGCATGCCAAATAAGTCGGTATTTGAATTATGCACGAATAAATAATATTTGATCTAAATTTATGGCAAATAATGTTATAACATTTAGGCCGCGAAATGATTTGATGTAAAATGAAGCATGGTAATCGGAATATCGTTAATAAATTAGAATCCCGAAATTTTTATGAAAACCAAACTTTGATGTTCCATTCGGATAAGAAGTGGATTCAATTCGTTGTTATGATTTAATTGGAAATGTCCCAATCATTGGATTATATTCAACCAAAGCAACGAGATTTAAGAGTTTTGACGATCATCTTTTTGTCTTTAACAGTTCAATATTCTCAATTTAACTACTATTAAATACAATCAAGTATGAGCCAGTGTGTTTATTCTGTGCGA